TAGAAAAATGCAAAAAAAACTATAATGAGATACCACCTCACCTCAGTCAGAATGGCTATCATCAATAAGTCATCAAACAGCAAGTGATGGCGAGATTGTGGAGAAAAGGGAACCCTGGTGCACTGTTGGTGGGACTGCAGATTGGTGCAGCCATTATGGAAATCATTATTGATGTATCTAAAAAACCTGGAAATGGAACTACCTTATGACTCAGCAATTCCACTATTTGTTATCTATCCAGAGAAACCCAAGATGCTAATTCAAAAAAATATATGCAGGGGGTTGTTACTTTGTGAGGGTGAAAAGGGTAACTATTGCATTGTTCTGTACACCTGAAACTAACAATAAAAAATATATATATATATATATATATATATATATATATATATATGCACCCCTATGTTTATTGCAGCGCTATTTACAATAGCCAAGACTTGGAAAAAACTGAAACGCCATTGGTAGATGACTGAATTAAGAAACTGTGGTACATTTATACAATGGAGTATTACTCCACTATAAAGAAGAATGAAAGCTTACCATTTGCGAAAATATGGATGGACCTAGAGACTATTATGTTAAGTGAAATAAGTCAGTCGGAGAAAGACAAATACCATATTATCTCAGTTATATGTGGAATCTAAAAAACTGAATGAATGAGCAAAGTAAACAGAAATAGTCTCAGAGATATAGAGGAAAAACTAATGGTTGCTAGTTGGGAGGGGGGTGGGCATGAGGGAGAAGGGGAATGAATTAGACAACATAAATAGGTAACTACAATATTGCCACAGGGATATGAAAGACAGTTTGGGAAATATAATTAATAGTGTTGTAAATATTTTGTAGGGTGTCAGATAGTCACATGTCTTGTTAGAATGACCACTTCATGGACAGTGTAGAGGCTTGATCACTGCACTGTACACCTGAAGCTGATGTATAATATTGTATGCCAACTATGATTGAATATATATATATAGTATCAGGATGTGGAGTATTGTGTGGGTGTGGAGTCAATGGAATTGTAATAGATATGTATGATATCGAGGGGGGAAGTGGGGCGGTGGATTGGGGCAGGGGGTTGTCACTTTGAGGGGTAAAAAGTATAACTATTGCACTGTGTTGTACACCTGAAATTAATTTTTAAAAATGAAAGATCTTTTGATCAAATACATGAGGATTTATCCCTAGGTTCTATATTTGATTTCATTGATCTTATATCTGTTTTTATGCCAGTACCAATCTGTTTTGATTACAGTAGCTTTGTAATATGGTTTTTGATTCAGAAAGCATAAAACTTCCAGTAGTAGAAAGTCACCTTATCTCTAAAATATACCTGCCAAAGATTTAGTCTTAGGGATATGTAGATGGGGACTGAATTAAAAATGCTATACTGTCTTTCTTTTGTTTTTGTATCAGGAAAATACTAATTTCTTCATTTGTGTAAATGTCTTTATGCTAATAAATATAAAAGATAACAGTTTATATTTTGAAAGATAAACTTTGTAGTTAATGACTTAAATTTCCATACTAGCTTTTCTACTTTGAAGCCATTGTACACGTGAAACTTATGTAACTTTACTAACAATTGTCTCCCCAATGAACTTTAATAAAAAAACCCATTAGATCCTGTACAATATCTATTCTTCCTATTATTTTTTTCTAAATTAAAGTTTACTGGAGTGACAATTATTAGCAAAGTTACATAGATTTCAGGTGTACAATTCTGTAATACATAATCTATATATCATATTGTGTGTTCACCACCCAGAGTTTGTTTTCCTTCCACCACCATATATTTGGTTCCTTTACCCTCATCTACCACCCCTCTCCCCCTTTACCCTCTGGTAACTGCTAAACTATTGTCTATGTCTATGAGTTTTGTTTCTTTATTTTGTTTTGTTCTTTTGTTGTTTTCAGTTTTATATACCACTTATCAGTGAAATCATATGGTTCTCAACTTTTTCTGTCTGACTTATTTCACTTAGCATTAAGCTGATTAACATTTCTTCCTATGACTTTTAAGTTATTTACACTATAGGGTTACTGATACTTCTATTGAGACTTCTAGTGAGGTTTAAATGCAAGAATATTTGTGAAATGCCTGAAACACAGTGTCTAGAATATAACAAATAAACATTAATCCCATTTCTTTCATTTACCTTTTCTTGGTTTTTAATTTATTAAAAATATTTATTTTAAGATACCAAAAACTAAGATTTCTAAATTAAAAAGCTGAATAATGGGAAAATTTTAATTGTCTTCCTATATTACATATTATTTAGATCTTGTCTTCAGTATTTTGACCTCTCTTATCTAATTATACCCTGAGAAAATCATAAGGAATAGTTTCACCAAAACCAATTAATATACTACTGTTAACTATTAAATATTTAACATGATGCTTAATAGCTTTTACCTTAGACATTGTCTGTATATCAACTCTTCTATTCAGACAAACTTCTGACAGATCATTACTATCCTACATATTCTGCTTCTGCATCCTGTCCAAAACCTTATACTTAACCCATGGTTGCCCGTTTTAATTTGCTTATCTTCTTGACAAATATCCCTTGGTTGATTTCATTTTTTAGACTTCCCCTGACTCTCACCAGCAAAGTGACCTTTCTGTCATTGTATTTAAAATTTATGTAGCACTATTTATTAATATATCTTATATTGTATATACATTAACTAATTATAGTTATTCTTAATACTTTGTCTTTAAACTTTATACTGGAGTTAAAAGCGATTTGTATATTATTTCCTTGACCTTATCTTTATGTTTCAGAGTAAAGATAATGTGAGAAAAATGGTATACCTACTAAAAATCTTTCTCTTTGTGTTTCCCACAGCATAATGTCTTGCTTTAGGCTCTACTCAATAGACAGTTTTCAATTGTGTGCATCACCTGACACTAATGCTTGCGGAAATCAATTTACACATATTTACTGCCAAGTTATAAAATCTAAGGCAGGACAGATCTCTTGTTTGAATAAACTTATTATGTAATTCTTGTCTCTGTTATTTCCATAACACAAATAAGAGTAACAGAGTATGGCATGTTGGTATAAGGCAGGGGTGTCAAACTGGTGGCCCGCGGGCTGCAAGCAGCCCTCGAGGTAATTTTTTTGTGGCCCACGATATTCTGAAATAAAATGAAAATAGAAAAAATTTTTATGAAGAAAATAGCGCTTATGAGAGATCGAGGCAATACCATACACACTATCCCCTCGTTAACCCTTTAACTACTGAAGACGAGTATACATGTGGCCCAGTGCCTTTCCTGGGGGCCTGTGGGCATGTATAAACACGCTGACTCAGTTCCGGTGATGTTTGGAAGCTATATGTCTGCCACTCTCAGTGTCACGTAACGTAAACAGATCCCAATAGCAAAAAGGTTAAAAAGAGCACTCAGGTTAAAAAGAATAATTTTAGTTTTATAAATACATTAAATAAAATAAATGTTTAAATAAAAGCAATTATATAGTGTTTTAATTATCCTACCCATATTCCTGAATCCTCACTTCAGAATATAAATTTAACAAAATTTGTAAATGTGATGTGGCCCACGTGAATCTTGCCTGTTGCCCCAAATGACCCGTGTTTTAATTGAGTTTGACACCCCTGGTATAAGGGAACATAATTATATTGGGTTGTTGGAAAAGTCATGATGCATGTTTGTGACACATAGCACTGGTTCATTTTTGGAAGTACTAGAGTCTTTCACATCTATGTCATTGAATGTCATTTGATAGATGACAGTTCTACCTTCTTTCTAGAAAAAAATTGAGCAATTTGGTTGAATTTGGAAGATTTTACAACAAGTTGAAGATGGAAGACCAAACTGCATTACTGTGCATTTTTGCCATATTTTACTGTTTTACTTCCATAAAGGGAAGAACGTGTGTCAATCTTATGAAAAGTTGCATAAAGTTTACAGTGACAATGCTCTACAAGAATGTCAATGCCAACAATGGTTCACAAAATTCCATCCTGGTGATTTTGATTTCAATGATGCTCCTTGGTCAGGGAGGCCCACCGAGGTTGATGACGACAAAATAAAGGCATTGATCAAGTCAAACCCACGGTACACAACATGAGAGATTACAGAAACATTGAATATCCATCATTCAAGCATTCATGACCCCCTGAAGAAGCTGGGAAAAGTAAGGAAGCTCGATATTTGGGTTCTGCATGAGTACATTTGACGGCATGTATATTTGATGGCTCGATATTTGGGTTCCGTCAAAGTTCATTTGATGGTGCATATAAACATCTGCAATATACTCATTAAATGTGAGGAAAACGATCCTTTTTTGAAGCGACTGATAACTGGTGATGAGAAGTGGGTTGTTTACAACAATGTGGTGTGCAAATGGTCTTGGTCCCATTGTGATGATTGCCTCAAACGACATCAAAAGAAGACATTCATCAGAGGAAGGTTATGCTCTCAGAGTGGTGGGATTTTAAAGGTGTCATGTTTTTCGAGCTCCTACCAAGGAACCAAACAATCAATTCGAATGTGTACTCTCGGCAGTTGGACAGTTTGAATAAATCCATCATCAAGAAACGTCCAGAGCTTGTTAATTATAAAGGAGTTGTGTTCCATCGCGACAATTCGAGACCACACACAAATTTGATCACCCATCAAAATTATTGGAGCTTAGATGGGATGTGTTGCCATACCCACCATACTTGCCTGACCTTGCACAATCAGAATTCCACTTGTTTTGCTCTCTTTAAAACTCTTTGCAAGGTATAACGTTCAATTCAGATGAGTCTGTAAATCAGCACCTTGTTCAGTTTTTTGCTAAAAAAGACAGATCCTTCTATGAACGAGGAATTATGAAGCTCACTGAAAGATGGCAAAATGTTATTGAAGAAAATGGGCAATATATCATTGATTGATCTTTGTTCTTTCTATAAATAAATGACCTTTGAAAACCATAGACAAAATATGTCATGATGTTTTTGACAACCCAATAATTGTTTTTCTTTTCTAGGAACACTTACCTTTTGCTGTAGCAGGGAGTATGGATGAGGTCAAAGTTGGAAAAAGGATGGTCAGAGGCCGTCAGTACCCTTGGGGAGTTTTACAAGGTACATATGATAGTGAGTGGGCTTGCCCTGGGCTGATTATGTTAATAATATACATATTATCAAAGTTTCAAAATATCATTTTAACTTGAGTCAATATTGGTAACTATTGCTAAATAGTAAAATAATAGTTACTAGTAAGAAGCACAGATTCTGTTTCACTTAAAATAATGCTTACTTTGATAATGATTTATTCTCATAGCAGTTTGCTGGATAGTGCTTTAGGCAACAATCCACAGAGGCTGGACAGAATATCTCCTCATTTGCCCCAATCTGCCATATTCATTATCACTATGCTTAACCATCACATTCAGGATGTTGGGAAGTGCTTTGAACAAAAGTACTTTGAAAATCATTGAAGACTAAATACTAGAGTTTAAATGAATGACTATCATTAACAAGAAAAACAGTAAGTGTTAGAGACTGTGGGGAAAAAGAAACCCACATACACTGTTGGTGGGGATGCAGATTGGTGCAGCCGCTATGAAAGGCAGTGTGGAGGTTTCTCAAAAAATTAAGAATAGAATTCTCGAATGACCCAAAAATCTCTCTCCTGGGTATATAGCCCCAAAATCTGAAAACATTTACCTGTAAAGATATATGTGCTCCAATGTTCATTACAGCTTTATTTATAGTGGCTAAGATATGGAAACAACCAAAGTGTCCTTTGATAGATGATTGGATGTGTTAAAGAAGATGTGTTATATATACACAATGCAATACTACTCTGCTATAAAAAAAGATGAAATAGTGCCCTTTGTGACAATATGGATGGATCTTGAGATTATTATGCTAAGCAAAATAAGTCAGATAGAAAAAGTAAAAAAACATGGTTTCATTGATAGTTGAGATACAAAACTGAGAGCAACAAAGGAACAAGACAAACAAATAAAGAAACAAAAACTTATAAACACAGACAATAGTATAGTGGCTACCAGATGGTAGGAGTGAAGGGTGATGGTAGATGAGGGTAAAATAAATCAAATATAAAATGATGAAGGAAAATTGACCCTGGAACTGACTCTGGGTAGTGAACACACAATGTAATATATAGATGATGTATTACAGAATTGTACACTTGAAACCTATGTAACTTTACTAACCATTGTCACCTCAATAAACTTTAATAAACAAAACAAAACATTGTACATATTGAAAGCAAGAAACAAACAAGACAGAAACTCATACACATAGGTAATCGTTTCGTAGTTATGAGAGGGAAAGAGGGTGGGAGGTAGAAAAAGGTAAAGGGCGTTAAATATATGGTGATGAAAAGAGATTTTACTTTGGGTGTAAAAGTAAAACACAATGCAATATACGGATCATGTATTATAAAATTGTACACTTAAAGCCGACATAATTTTATTAACCAATGTCACCCCCAAGAAATTTAATTAAAAAATAAACATGTTACATAAATTATTTACTGCCATATATAAAACAAAGTGGTCACTAGAAAAAGGATAGTAAGCCATTTTTAAAATAAAAAATATATAATTTATCTTTGGATAAATTATACCTACACTTTTATATTAGTTGTTTAGCATCACAATGAGTTAGAATATTATAATAGGTAGTCATTTATTGTCTAGTTCATATGCTTGTGATACTAATGATTTGGGATAGGATTATGGCTACATGTTTTAGTTTCCAAATGTAGTTTTTTTTCTTTTTCCGTTATAAAATTATTTTATTTATTTATTTTTTTCATTAAAAATTTTTTTGTGTGAAATACACATTTCTTAGAATTAGTTTCAGCTGTACAACACAGTGCAATAGTTATAATTTTTACCCCTCGAGGTGACAACCCCCCTCCCCTAATCCACCACCCCACTTCCCCCCCAATATTATACATATCTATTACAATTCCCTTGACTCCACTCCCACACTATACTCCACGTCCCATGACTATATATATATA